GATCAGGTGCTGTTCACACCTAACACTGAGATCACATCGGTCTCCCAAGCCGTACGATTTGAAAATGGCCTCTTTCGCTATGAATCTCGTCACCGATTTGCGATTTAGAATAGGTCTACGTTTTTCTGACAATATTTTTCATCACGTTAATGCTAATACATTCGTTTTATTGTGAGGTTTGTTGTTCTTACACGGTGAGTATGAAAATGACTGTCCTCCTCGTTGTTGTGCCGTATAATCTGGTAGACGTTTGCCGACGTTTCAGACTATTAAACATGATACCTTTTGTGATATCTGAGTTTTTCACAGCGGTGAGGAAAACGATGATGTTCTGAGTTTTTCGCCGTGTAGACCTGAATGTAGATGCTGAGGTTTCGTAGAAACTTATAATCTCCATATTATACCTTGGTGATGAAGACAGTATGTTCATTAAGTCCTGAAGATGAAGAGGGTATGTTTCTTTGAAACGTTTCTACAAGACATCGAAACTCATAAGATTAACATCATGACAGCTTTTGAGTATTTCCTCCTAATGAATAGCTGTATTCGGAGTATTAGTCGTTAAATAGTGAACTTAATTTCACAGATACAAACAGGTCTACGCGAAAGACGATGGAGAGACGGTTGAGACACCCGGCCATTTTTATAATTTATGCTAACTTTTCAAACAACTATATTTTCTCAGATACGTAATGTAACATGTTTTATAAGACAAAATGAAGAAACTTGTTTTATACCTGCGGTTAATGAACTTTAGTCAAGCAATCCGCCTTCTTCTAATATTTTACCAATAACAAGATCGAATATTTACAATTCACGGGTACACCAAAGAATTACATACTAATCTGGAAACAAATGTTAGTAGGTAAGCTTCTAACATGAAGATTAACCACAAGTACTAAACTGAATGTGAAAATTGTGAATTATTAAAATAAGTAACCAAAGTCGTCTACTTATTTCAAGTTTCCCACCAAAATTCTGTATGTACTTCTCATATTTTTCATGTACCCACATACTACATACCCCGCCCCTCACATCCAACTTAAATCTGTCACCTTACGGTTGTATACTTTCATGTAACACGCATTGATTGTTTTAAAATCCATTGTATTCGTCTAAATGACACACGTGTCCAAATTATAGTTCTAACACCCCCTTCCCCCTAACCTCACTTTCTCACACTCCTTCTGGTTCTACAGCATGTACGTACGCGCAAGATATATTACGATTTTACAAGCAATGAGTTTAAAAGATGGAGGAAGCTGTCGTGACCTATTTGAATGTATTATTCGGCATTAGTTTTGAAGGACTGAGAATAGCATGTCACTCAACCGACAATGAACGCTGGTATTTGCGGATAAGTTACCGCTAAATTAACCTGATGTGTGAATCTAAAGATGGGACGTCGGATTTAGCGTAAGACAGACATTTGCAAGTCAGGATACATCCTACATTTATCTCTAGTAGTAAGTATTATCAAAGCTTTAAAATTTTAAGATGGCGAAGGAGGTCACAAGTATACAGTGGTATACGGGCCGTGAATTTACAGTCGACCAGAGACAGTTCGACTTGAGAACAGGGTGGAAGTTCTTCATTGGCTAAAATTAAAATGAAGGAAGGAAAAATTAAAACGAATTAGACAGGAAGGAACTAAAAAAAGGGATAAATAAATACATAACAAAATGACAAGTATCAAAAGGGGGCGAAATAAATAAAACTAAGCAAATACAAATAGATAATAAAAATTAAAACGAGACAGAGAAGAATCAAAGGAAGATATATGTATGAATAAAAATAGGAACTTAGAGAAGAAACATAGCAAAATGAAAGAAAAGTGTACTCCTGCGCACACATAACGAACATGTCTTGGAGAAGTTTCATCAGCAAAATCATACAATTAAATGACCGTGGTATGGCCAACTACTAAATTTATAATCTTCTGGTTTATTGATATGCACTCCCGTTCCTAATTGTCTCCCAGTACCCAAAGAGGAGACCTAGCAGTTGAGCAGGTACAACAGAGTTCAGTCCTCCCTCCCCCCGCAAACTCGCTCTGACGATAACAGCCAACTCACTCCTAACGAACGGAAAAAGTGGGTCAACTCTTATATAGCGAAGTTCAAGGTGCGAGTCCATCACTTGCTGTCCTGTCTCCAAGGTACGAAGCTGACGAAGGCCACTAACGTGTGTGTGACAGTAAAGCGGTTGATTCTTTCGCCCTCAAGGAAACAAGTAAGTTCCTTCTAGTTCACATTTATAATTCTGTTAAGGCCATTACATACGAACGTAGGATGGGTTTTTTATCCTCCTGTCCTCAGTATCTGAAAACACTCATCAGAGTCCACAGCCCCTAATGCACTACCACTACAGGTAGACTCGACTTATTTTTTGTATTAACAGAACACGTAACATAATGCGAAAATGCGTAAATCGATTGCTTTTTTCCGACGCAAAGCCCAAAACGGGATTTACGATTAAGAGAGGATCCTTTCATGGCAACCTTGGTGATTTGTGATATTATTAACTAAATTAAATGTAAAATAATATTGTAATAACATAGAAATGGCAATTCATGCACTTTCGGTATTCAATAAACGATATTACATTTAAAATATGATATACTACAATGCTGGACCTCACAAGAATTCACAAAAATTCCTCTCAAAACCAATCAATGAGCTAAGGAGTTTGGAGGAAGGATATTACCAGATATGTATATTGGTAAACAAGTGAAATTTCTCAGGTTGAGGAAAAGACTTTTTCATTAAGATTACTGTGGGTTGTTTCGT